AAACTCAAATTAAAACAGCCTTTAAAGAGGGACCAGACATGTAGTGATAAATGATCGGATTGAGTGTTAAGGTCATTTTATTAAATTAATGTTTATATTTTTTGCTGTTTTCTTGTTGAGGTTTGTGTACTTTAGGCCATCTATGGAGATTGTATGCTATGGTATGTGGCAATGGTGCATGCTATATATGTTTGTCCATAAAAATGAACATTAAATGAATAAACACACACATTTATCAGAGAACAAGAGAAAAAGTGCAGCAGCTGAAGTGAACAACATGGTTATTTCTGCCAGTTTATCTACAGACGGCACCAGCTAGAGGAGGAAAACAGAAAAAGTTTGCAGCTTGCATGCCTGTTTAAGAGCTCAACTCCTCACTCCTCTCTTCCCATATATCTGCACTATATTTGCATGTTATCTGGCCTTTCCATTTTCCACGGCTGAATGGCTGATGTGTCGCAGCCAGCATATCTATTAGTGAGCTTCTGGTGGCTCTCCCTTCCCCTCCTCCGACTCAGAGATTACCATTTAGCTGCTCTGCAACTCCACCATTACCTCCCAACAGCCAGCACTACAGCAGCTCTGCATTTGTGTTATCATGAAAGAATGCTTCACCTCCCGTCCTTGTCTTCAAGCATTTCATTGTTTACAGGAAATCAAGTTTAATAATTGTATCTAGTCTCTGAACATGAGGAACATGAAAATGTGATTCCTTCATTTCTTAAGAGCTTTTTTTATTATCCTCTTATCCTTCTTGTTCATTATTGCTTACTAACAGAAATGAGAAAATGATTTTTTCCACCAAAGTGATGATTTCTTTTAATGCTCTTGGGTAGTGATGCATGTCACATTTTAAAAGAAGTTCAGAAACTGCTGTAAACGGGAAAGTATCAGCAATATGTCTGCATGAAAGTTCAGATAACAGATGTACAACAGCGCCTTTTTACTAATTGTTAAAAACTAACTTGTTAAACTAATGGTACTTTACAATCAGCTTTCTCTTCTCTGTCGTGCTCAGTATTGGCAAAGTTTTAATTGGCAGTTTTCCCAGTGCTGGGAATTGGCTGCAGTAGAAGTACACTTACAAACAACCACTCTTCCTGTTAGCTGAGATAACTGCTCTCTGGTGACCATTCAGTGGCCTGCATCTGCGAGAAAACTAACCTTATTGTGTTTTCAAATGGCAGTTCATCTGTTCAACCATCCACCTATCCACTGATCGATACCTCCATCTGCCATCAAGCTACTTAGGCTTGCAGGGCAGTCGTCCTCTTACTTCCCTGCAATGTCCTGCACCACTTCCTTTCCTTTTTCCTTTTTACCATAACACTTCCACAGCAAGGCAAGCAGGTCTGCCGGCTCCTCTCAGCGTGAAGGAGTAGCAGCTTGACTCTGTAGTTCTGTGGATTTGATTAACTTTTCGCCACTTTGGAGAGTTTGGGTTCATCCACTTGTATTTGCTTGACGGTCACTTTCCAGAGCTCATGGCCATATGTGTGGGTTGGAGCAGGGATCATCAGCAGGAACTCTGCTCTGTGGTGTATCTCTGAGACAAGCTGCTGCATTGAACTGGTGGTCAGTATTTTGATATATTTTACTCAATGCCATGAATGAATGAAGTACAGCAATGTTTCTGCTAGAAGCCTGGCTCTGTGGAACCCTAACCCAATGTGGTCCAAACTGAAATATACCAACAACTACATTTTTTTTTTTTTTTTAAACACATTTTATTGTTTTTAAGCAGAGATAATACATAACACAGAGACAGAACCTCCCACCCCGACCCATTAGACAGCACATGTTATACAAATAAAATACAATAAAAATACTAGTGATAATGATGAAAAAGTACAGTACTAGTTTGTCTCCAGTCCGCAGTATGTAATCATGAGTTGAGGGTAACCAGTCATCGGCAGCCTATCTGTGTCCCTCAATTTGAGGGAGGCGAGGGGAGGTCTTATTCCAATCAGAAAACTGTCTGCCCCTTAATATAAGATTTTTCAGATCTGCAGGTATATAATCTAGGAAGGGCGTCCATATTTTTAAAAATAACTCATCCTTACCCTTTACGACAGCTTGTAGCCTTTCATGAGGGATGATATTAAAAACCTCCCTGTACCAAAGGGTGACACTAGGTGGAAAAGCTTTGGTCCAGTTTTTCAGTATACATTTTCGAGCAACTAGCCAACAACTACATTTATGTTACATTACATTCATTTTTTATTTGACACTCCTGTGTCAAGCAACTTACAGGAAGTGCATTAAAACAACATAAGATGGATTGATAAACCGAACACTGGCTTGGGATAGGGTCTTTCGCGTTTTCGGGAATTTCGCAGCCACTGTTATTTCTCCTCCGTGCTTGGAAAAATTAGTTGTTTTTTAATGGTTGCAACTGGCATCTTCACCGCTAGATGCCCCTAAATCCTACAGACTGGTCCTTTAGAGGAGTACTGCACCAAGTTAGTATTGCATTGCTATACAGTCCCTCCAAAAAAACGCAATTATGCGATCGCATAATTCAATGCATAAACAGCCAAAGTCCGCATATTTATGCGGGGCCGCATATTTTCAAATACGCTGCACTTTCGCCGCATAAATTGCCAATTTCCGCGCAAAATATGTGGGGCTTGCGTGATTTTGTAATCCCCGCATTTTCGTTGCAAAAAAGTCAAATATATATCTTAGCAGAAAGTTGAAAAATGTTGCGTTTACTTCACACAAGAGCAACCATTTTCCCCTGTTGCCATGGGAACGTTATGAAGTGACGTAACGTGATAAAGTCGTTCCCGAACTTCATCGAAAAATTGCATAAATTGTGCTTTTAAAAAACGTCCACATAACAACCCAACAAACAAAACGAGGACCTATAACTGACCCAGGATAGTTTTCAAAAAATATCAAAATCAATGCAACAGACCAAAAAATCCACAATTCTTCTTCCTTGTTAAAACCCCATACCCACAAGCAACCACCCAAGATGTAGAGATTTGAGAAACTTTCTAACTCAACCCAATTGCTTTCAATTTCAAACTTGTCGCAACACACCCACAGGTGACCCATTTTTCCGCCATTTACCATTGCTCCCGCAGGAGAGAAAAAGGCTTTATACAACTTTTCTTCAGCATTTAGCTCAATGAACAAACATGCTAAAAGCAGCCCCACAGAGCCACCAGCCTACCTGGAGACATTCGTCTCATTTCTATGTCCAGCTTTGAGAAGGACAAACACTAATTTCAGAAAAACTGCCTCAACACACAAAGGCTAGAGAAAAGAGAACAAAACTAAATTGTTAAGTCCCTCAAAGCACGGTGCTGTAGGGCATGATTTTGGGAATGATCAGGACCTGTCCCACTTACTTTTCAAAATCCTGTCTTTGTCCAAACCAATGCTTGTCCTATGAAATACTGTCCATGTGTGAATGTTTCATATCGTTTCATATCAACTATCATTCATGAGTGAAGAACTATATGAAGAACTATATTTTAGGGCTGGTAGGCTGCAGCACTACAGGGAAAAACAATTACCACTATCTACACTGAGGGCTACTTAACATGTAGTTGTTTCCAGTGGTGCGCAATTATTTACATTCTGTTTATGCAGCACATTTTTGAATGCTTGTCCTGTAGTGTATTTTGTTACATTTGCGTGAATTTGCAGCTCATTTCCCTTGTCAAGGCTCTTTGCAGAGGAGATGTAGAGGAGTGGAAAAGGGGATGTGTCACGACGTATCACTGTCCCAAATATAGAAATTTAATCTGCTGTTGGGTAGTGGGTTTCAAGCCAGAAAAAGAGAGAGAGAGAGGGGAGGAGAAGGTGGAGAGTGAGAAAGCCCCTGAGGCGGACCTTGTTGGGCTGTCTCTCTAATGCACTCCACTGTTTTCTTCCTCTTTTTTTTCTCTTCAGCTACCTTTTGACTCCTGCCTTCAGTCCCTCTGTCTAGCAGTGAGCTCTTCTGTTATGAATTCATTTGCTGTTGTTTTAAGCGGTATTCAAAAACAATACCATACAGGCAAAGCAAGGATTGTCAACTTTGCATTTTCTTGGAGTCAGGATACATAGCTCGCAAAAATACATTCTTTCATGTACTTTGTGTCAGAATCAGTCAACACTTTGGGAAAACACTTACACACACAAACGATATTTGTAGGCCAGGGCATCTCTGCAGCACTACAGTACTTCATTATACTGTTTTGTCACACATTTTACTAAACACTGCAGATTCTGCTATTTGGATATTGCACCTGGCCATATTGCAGTTTTGAAAATATTTTGATTAGTTGTCCTACATTGAACCATTTAAAATGAACCTTTAGACGACACTCAGTAGTATACACTATATGGCCAATGTTTTTTGTGTATGTTGTTTTAGTATACTTTTGGTCTCTTGAGGGCCCTTGGATACAATAAAGAGAAATCTTGATGCTACAGCAGATGGTGATATTTTAGTCACTGTTGTGCTTCCAACTTTGTGGATGTTCGAAATCGTGGTAAAGTGTGCAGGTATTTTTTGCATTATTATTTTTATTTGAATCTATTCCTCATGATTGTCCTGTTTCATGTTGAGATTCAGTTCTGCTCAATATCTTGTATAAAACCATGCATTTGTAAACTTTGCTGTGGAAGAACTTGACTAACCCCGACTTCAAACCCATTGAACCTTTGGGAACACCAACTGTGAGCCAGACCTTATCACCCAACATCAGTGTTTGACCTTAATAATGCTTGTGTGTCTAAATATGAGCGAATCCCTGCTGCCAGCTTCTGAAATCTGGTGAAAAGCATGAAGCCAGAAGAGAGGAGGCTGTTAGAGCAGCAGATTGATGTTGAATGTTGAACAATTTTATGTAGATGTAATGTTTGCGTGTCAACATACTTTTGGCTATGTTGTGTTGCTTTTCTTTAAAACCATGGCAATGAGAAACTTCTGTTTTCTTTTGTGGCTGACTGACCTGGTCAAAGATGACTGACAGTATGTCTCATCCTCTCACCTCTGGCAGGTATCTGGATCAAACCCAGCCGAACATCCAGGATGAGGGAGAAGAGGGCTGACTTTGTGGCAGGCTGCCTGGGAGGAAGAGTAATCGTAGCAGGTGGTCTAGGTCAGGACCTTCAATCTTTCCCCCTGTGTTTTTCAGTGTGTTCCTTTCTGTCCATTGATTGCAGCGCTGTGCTTTGATCCAAGGAAGGAAAGAGACAGAGAATGACAAAAACAATTAATCCGACGACTGATTTGTTGTTGTTGCACCACCTTTTGTCTGTTAATGGACATACCTCACATTGGCCTTACCCCGGTGTATTATCTGCCCGGTAAACCACACGTCTCCACCCCAGCTTTTCCATTACAAATTTGTATTCTCCAAATCCAAGCAGAGGTTATTTTCTGACGTTAGAAAAGTCATTCTAAATTCAGAGTAGACAGACAAATGTTTTCAAAGGCTGAGTAACCAGTGTAAAATCAGTGGACTGGGCCTCAAATCTGGGGCAGAAAATGTAAAATAACCTATTCCTCCTTACTTTTTATGATGACTCTTTCTAACACTGCTTCCTAAGCGGATGGAAGTGATGTGAACGAGCAAGTGAGCAAACATCATTGAAGATGGAAAGAGGTGAAAAGGCAGTGTTCACTGGGATGCTGCTGAGCCCCGTTTGGTTGCATGCTAACAGTAGCTACAGCAGCTGTTGGCGGAGTTGAATCAGAGTAGCTGGAGGACGTCAGAGAGAAATCCATAAAACATCATCCAGTTTCACCCAAACCACTGATTAAGTCGTGCTTTTGTACAATAATCAATGAGGTCCAGCCACTAAAAACACTATGCTGTTGCTAGCTTGCAAAGTATTGAATCGTGGCTCTGTATGTTAAAAGTTGAAGAATGATTGACAGGTGAATGTCATTATATTATTCGTTGAAATAGGTTAGTACTATGGAAGCGAATCGTGACCAAAATTTAAATTTAAATGCATTTGCAGAAATGCTTTTTCATTTTAAGAATGTGGCTGCATTATTTGTCTTATAAATAAAAATAATAATCAATCATCCTATCTGCATTTTAATTTTCTTCTTCAAGACTGCTCATTCTTTTACTTAATTAAAATGAAAAAGAAAAAGACATTTGAGATTTAATTTTCAAAATATGTCCCAGCAAATAGATACCAAAATTCAATTTGAAATGTAAAATTTGAAAATTAAAATGCATTTGAAAAAATGCTTTTTCATTTTAAGAATGTGGCTGCATTATCTGACTCGTAAATAAAATAAGTAATCAATCATCTTATTTGCATTTGCATTTTCTTCTTAACTGCACATTTTATGCCATCATCAAAAAGAAAACAAAGAGGAGATTGCTATTTCGTTTTCGTGGTCTGCCCCGCAAAATAGTGCCCATAATTCGAAAAGGATTTGGCAATCTGAGCGGCGCAGGAGAGTGACGTCAGTAGCCGCTCTTCTTCAGCTCCGTGATGACCGTGCTACCCACAAGACAGACCCGTGTCTTTAGCGCCCCTAGTGGTAGTGACCACTGGTCCATGCCAGGTAGGAGCTGGTCGCGAGGAGCTGGTCGGGACTGCGCGGCAGCTCACGCTGACCTGCATAATCGATAGTACTACTCATACAACTACGACTAATAATAATAATTTAATCATTGTTATTATGATTTCTATTAATAATAGTGATCAATAACATTGGATAGACAAACGATTATGGCTTCTCACATTTAGGCTATTCTGCTAACACAGTGAGAAACGGGAAAAGTTGTATTAAAAATAAATACAAACAAACAAACACTCCACAGATCACTCAACTGGTCCAAACAACAGAACAGATCACAGAGGAGGTGGTCAGGACCAGTCATTGTGCCCTTTGTGCCAGTAAGAAGCTGGTCATGTGTCTTTAGTGCACCGAGTGGTTGTGACCACTGGTCCGTGCCAGAGACCAACTGGTCCATACCAGAGACCAACTGGTCCATACCAGAGACCAACTGGTCCGTGCCAGAGACCAACTGGTCCGTGCCAGAGACCATGGTCCCAGGACAGACCACAGAATCGGTTACATTTGAGTGTACATGTGAGACCATCGAATGTACTCCAGGGAAAAGTTTTAAGTTTAACTTTTTTCCGGGAGTTGATTTTTAAAATCTTTTGTAGAGTTAAAACTGAACACTTGTGGGAGTTAAAAAACTAATCCCATGTGGGGTAAAATACAACTCTCACCTGGAGTTAATTTTAATGTGAACTCTTTCATGGTGTTAACAGTCAACACTTAAAAATATGTTTTTATTCAACACTTTTCTGAGTTAATATTTAAAAACACAAAAAATATTTTAGGTGAAAATGACTACAAAAAACATTGATTACCACACATTTTTATTTTAAATCCATGTGTGACATTTTGAATTACAAACTGTAAACATTTTACAGCAAACCAACCAGACATATTCACATTTAACACAAACTGCTTTAACAGCAGCTAAACAGTTGGAACAGGCAGTTATTTCAAAAATCATGTCAGTACCACATCTTTCTGTAGTGCATAAGAGAAAAGTGCAGAAAGTGCATAGTATAAAAGCATTGCACAAATGTCTGACAGGATAACAAAGAACTTTTCTGTAATGCAGGAATGTATTAACATGAGGCAGACTTCAAACCTGTAATTTAAGTACATAAACATGTACATAAAAACAAGGGTGAATTCCATATAGCTAATGTTGATACATTAAATAATACAACCCTCTGACATACAAATGTGAATCACACATCAGGCACACATATCTTTGCTGTGAGTTGTTACTGAAGGGCCTGCCTCAATAATTTGGGATGAAGAAGAGGGTGTTTCATCATTTAAGCACTGAGAATTATTGTGCTGTTGGCTGTCATGGCTAGAGGGGGTCTCAGGAGGCACACAGGTGTTATCACTAGAAGCATGTATCTTAATCAAGTGTCTTCTAAATCCAGAATAACTTGAAAATTGCATCCTACTTGACACAAAAACTACAACTCTCTGGAAATAACCCAGAAAAATGGCCCAACAGACTCAACCACGCATTTGGGTAGATAAAATAATCCAGCATTTTTTTTGCATTAGCCCCTTGTTTGAAAAAGTGCTCGCTCTGCTTCTGCTTTTGCAAAGTTTTGCGCTTTTACTCCACCTCCATCTGATAAAAGTGTAAGTGTAAGTCTGGTTATGCAAGAACAGCTGTCAACATGAGCAAGCAGGAGAAATCTGCTTTTTCTTCTCAAAAAGGATGAGGTTTGGAAGAAAACCAGAGACCTGTTGGGAGTTACAAGTCAGTAAACGACAGTAAACAGCTGTATAAAAACAGGGCTGACATAAGTTGTCATTCATAGTATATCTGGGCAATTTTTTGTGTTCCATCCGCAAGAGTTCGCTCACTCGCTTCCAGTTTGGAAGCGGTGTTGAGAAGAAGTTAGTTCCAGCAGAAATATTATAGTAATTATTACCATCACTATTACTAGGCTACTCAAACTCAATTATTTGTTCACTGATGATATTACCCTAATACTTGATACTTAATAATAAAAGGACTCACAGGCAATAAAGTTGTGGAGTAGTGCTGACTTGCTAACAGCAACTCTGATTTATCATAAACACCGCACACACCATACTGAACACATGCTCACACACACAACCAAATTAATTTTCCATTAACTTTCCATTTTCTCCTTGACTGAGCTGCATTTGTTAAAGTAAATATAGTGTGAAGAGAGACTGAGCAATGCTACAAATTAATCACAGGTCAGCTTTTGTCCACGATGACATGCTTGTTAAGCAGATATTGACTCTCTTTTCTACACACCTGCATGCATCAGCAAGATCTCTCTCTCTCTCACTCTCTCTCTCTCTCTCTCTCTCTCTCTCTCTCTCTCTCTCAGACACACACGCACACACAAACACATTATATACATACATAATCTGGTGTTAACCCCAGAGCTATACAGTGAAATCTATTGACACTATTCCTGCAAGAATGTCTCCCTGTACATATACACAACACAGCCCATGCTAGATGAACAATAGAAAGACTATTACAGCTCAATCAAAGTTGATACACGTGGTGTTTGTCAACTATAAACCATCACCACATCAATTTTGATATATTGTATCAAAAGATGAGATCTTTCTGAGATTAGCAGCAGCCTTTATCAACTTCTTCACTCTTTCACTTCTAATTTGTCAAAGACGAGACATCTGACCAGAGGAGCAGAAATCTTCTGTGTGACAGTGATTAACAAGTTACAGGGTATGACACTAGCCTTAACAAACTTTGCATAATGCATGAGAAAGAGGCTAACAATTATCTCAACCATGGTCTTATTTATTTAGGGCAAACTCAGTTGCACTACCAGTTTTGTAGAGATATTTAAAAATGCTGTGCCTTTAAATAGTTTATTGATTGAAATCTCAGGCCTCAGATTGTTTTTTAACAGGTTCCAATGTAGGCCTAATACATTTTAGCTGTGTTTTTTCCTCTGTCCACAGCTCAAAGTGGCAGTCAATAATGTGGCCTGACATCTGTTGAGACTGTGTGTATGTGTGAAAGAGAGGAAAGCGCCAATCTTGTCCTGCTGAGAGGCAGAAATTCCGCAGGCAACAGACAGAGAAAGTAAAGGGGATTGAATGAGAAACAAGAATGAAATTCTGTGTATGTGTGTTTGTTCATGTTTGCTAATGCGAAAATGACAGAGTGAGGGAGAGTGAGAAGAAAGGAGGTAGATATGTTATATTTTTCTCTGTGTGAGTGTCAGCTGTGAGACTTGGTTGCCATCTAATCCATGGGGATATTTTGGGCTTGTGAGTCATAGCTGGTTTATGGCACATTTCCAACCCTTTGCCTTTTGACATGGAAAATAAAGGAGGAAAATACATCCACAAAGATCAATGAGCATCTATAATGCAGTTATATCGTATATATGCACATATATGTAAACAGTACAGGTTAGCATAAAGGGTTAAGATGGTCTAGATAGAGGATGGTTAAGATGGTCTTTGGGTATGTTTTACATATGTAGGCCACAGTATACATTAACTCACTTGATTAAAAAGCAGAATTGTGTCCCAAAAGGATTAATATTAGGCACTTTGCTA